ATACACCTCTGGAAATGAAGATGTGAACGCACAAAAATAAGCAGAAACCACATGGCTTGAATGTATTTTCAAGATTTGATGAAATGCATTATTATGCACATGATCAGTGGTTGTAATATTGTATTTGTTAGGTATTTAATTGGGATGCCATTTACATCTGTAACTGTGTGTTTCAGACTATTTTTAAAAGCTCCATACCCTTTTGAACTCATCACTGGCTACCATGAGATCATTCCTCACTTACCCAAGACCAGAAAAGAAATAAAGATGATTATTACTATAATAAAAAAAAATAATGAAAGTGGATTTCCATCAGCAGGATTCCTGGGAAATCTGTATGTTCAGATTATCATTACAGCCAAAGAACTATTGTAGATAATGTACAAAGGCGTTAGTGTAACTTACTGTGAAAACACATACAATAATTTTTAATTATAATAAATTATAACAATTTTTAATTATAATAAATGAAATTTTTAATTATAATAAATAAATGAAAGAGATTGGATGTAAAACTTAATGAACTGATGATATTTTGCTGTCAATATAAAATAATATAGTTATTACATTTCATATGACAACAGTTTGGGATTTCTTATAACTTGAAAGGGGTAAAATGCCCACAATGACTCAAAGAAATCAACATTGTTCTTTAGGAAAGAACATCATTTTCTAGTTCCAAATTCTGAGAAAAAAAATGTGTCACATGGATCTTTATATAAAATGAAAACATAAAACTTTAAATAAAATGCAGAAATGTTGCATATCATTCTTTAATAAAAGTCTAGGGTAGTCCCATAGCCTGAATCAGCCAAATTAAAGCTTTTTTTATTTTTTTCATTTTAATTTGTTATATATGACAGCAGAATGCATTACAATTCATATTACACATATAGAGCACAATTTTCATATCTCTGGTTGTACACAAAGTATATTCACACCATTCTTGTCTTCATACATGTACATAGGGTAATGATGTCCATCTCATTCCACCGTCGTTTCTACCCCCATACTCCTTCCCTTTCCTCCCTCCCTTTTTCTCTTTTTCTGTATCTAGAATTGATCTAATCCTCCCATGCCCCCCCCCCCCCCGCACCTTATGAATCAACATCTTTAAATCAGAGAAAACATTCGGCATTTGTTTTTTTTTGGGATTGGCTAACTTTACTTAGCATTATATTATTCTCCAACTCCATCCATTTACCTGCAAATGCCATGATTTTATTCTCTTTTAATGATGAGTAATATTCCATTGTGTATATATATACCACAGTTCTTTATCCATTCATCTACTGAAGGGCATCTAGTTTGGTTCCACAATTTAGCTATTGTGAATTGTGCTGCTGTAAACATTGATGTGGCTGTGTCCCTGTAGTATGCTGTTTTTAAGTCCTTTGGGTATAGACTAAAGAAAGAAAAGTCCAGGACCAGATGGATACACAACTGAGTTCTACAAAACCTTTAAAGAGGAACTAATACCAATACTCTTCAATGTATTACAGGAAATAGAAAAAGAGGGAACACTTCCAAACTCATTCTATGAGGCCAATATCCACCCTGATTCCAAAACCAGGCAAAGCACATCAAAGAAAGGAAACTTCAGATCAATATCTCTAATAAACATAGATGCAAAAATTCTCAATAAAATTCTGGCAAATTGATTACAAAAACATATCAAAAAGATTGTGCACCATGATCAAGTGGGCTTCATCCCAGGGATACAAGGTTGGTTCCACACATGGAAATCAATAAACATAATTCATCACATCAATAGACTTAAAGATAAGAACCACATGATCATCTCAACAGATGCAGAAAAAGCATTTGACAAAATACAGCACCCCTTCATGTTCAAAACACTAGAAAAACTATGGATAACAGGAACATATCTCAACATCGTAAAAGCTATCTATGCTAAGCCCTAGGTCAACATCATTCTAAATGAAGAAAAATTGAAAGCATTCTCTCTAAAAACTGGAACAAGACAGGGATGCCCTCTTTCACCACTTCTGTGTAACATAGTCATTTTAACAGTGGCCCTAGCAATTAGAGAGATGAAAGAAATTAAAGGGATACGGATAGGTAAAGAAAAACTCAAATTAGCACTATTTGCCGACAATATGATTCTATACCTAGAAGACCCAAAAAATTCTACCAGAAAACTTCTACAACTAGTAAGTGAATTCAGCGAGTTACAGCATTTTAAAGCGAAGTATCCTTCCTTCTACTCCTTCTTCCTCCACCTTCAGCTAGGCTCATCATGGTTCTCAACAGCAACAACAAAACAAATGGGACATAGGTGACAAAAGTAAGGTGAACTGAAAGATAACTGGATTTGTGTGTTCTATCTGGCAGCCCTATCTCCAGTGCATTTAAATGCTTGGCCCTGCAGCTGGTGCAGTGCAGTAAAAGGAAAATGACTTTTTGCATAGGCAAGAACATTAGCTAGTTCTAAAAAACATGCTATTTGTCTGCTTATCAATTTCTAAAAATATTTTTTAGTTGTTGATGGACCTTTATTTTATTCATATATTTATATGTGGGGCTGAGAACTGAACCCAATGCCTCACACATTGAGGCAAGTGCTCTATCACTGAGCTACAATCACAGCCCTGCTTACCAATTTTTAAAAAATTTTCCAGTGCGAATATTTTATGTGGATTTTCAGAAATTACCATTTTACCCACACCAAAATATTTTAGTAATTTCTAAAAGGAAAATTGTTATGTTTATTATAGATTCAGAATATGACATGCTAAGCAACATTTAAATGAAAGATCTAGGCAAGTTTCAAAAAAATTCAAATTAAGAAAGCTCATCACTAAGATGACATTGTATTTCTTGTTTCATTAGGTTATTTTTTGAACTACAAGTTAAATAATACTTTTTCTACTTAATAAAATTGTAGTCTAAAAAACTTATCTTAAATGTTAAAAGTTTTACAGTAAGTGTAATACATAATTTAACTGGTTAAGGAATGCATTCTACAGAGAGTTTTTTTTTTTAAGAAAAACTTATAGGAATGAATATTAAGGAAAACATAGAAACAAAAATTGAACATATATGGAACACAATTTTTAAAATGATACAAGATTAACAAATATCTAATAACTGCCACATATTTATGTCAAGTTTTATACTTACCACTTTATTATTAAAGGCTTAACATTTTAAAAATATGATGTCTCTTATCCACTCTTAAGAAGGTTGAGAAACAGTTTTATTCTTGTTATGCTACTTTTTCCAAAGAATGAGTCTGATGCTTTTTAAAGGAGCTGTTAAAATTATGAAAATCCTAATAATAGATATCCTGTCAGAAATTTTTAAAATAATTTTAAAATAATTTAATACATGGCATATTATTTGTTATAAATTCTATTTTATGCGGTATGAAGTATACAAAGCAAAAATAGCCAAGATTACAACATCAAAATATGAATGCTAATGTGTACATTCTTAATCTGCCATGAATTTATAAATGTTAAGATCTTATGTGGTAAAAATAGAAGATGTTAGAAAAGATTCCCATTATAAAAAATAAGGTGACCCAAAATAAGAAGACATAGACCAGCTTGTGCCTACACCTTCTGCTGCCATATTTTATGTTTTTGATGGTGGTGTTTTTTTGCATAAAAATTCACAACCTTTAAAATTGTATTATTCCAGGCACTTGCGTTGTCTTGTCTGCTGCACACGTTTGTTCCTGGATTCTCCCTGGCCTGAGGGTTGGCAGCTGACTTGACTGAGCTCACACTGTGTTCCCAGTCCTCCTCTAGGACTGCGGTACCAAACATGGAGCAGGAAAGGCAGAAAGAGGGCAGGTCATGGTTGACGGGAGGATGTGGACGTGCAACTCTCATCTCAGTTGACAGAGGAATAAGACCATGTCCTTTGTTGTGTGAAGACACTAAGGAGAGCCACGCCAGTAGCATCTCAAAGATGGAAGCAGCCTTAGAGGTCATTTAATTTATACTTTTTGTTTTATTGTTGAAGAAATCTCAGAGAAGTGTTTGTCTAATGTCAAACACACACAGATATATATGTATACATACAGTCCTAGGTCACTGAGACTAACCTTGGTGTTTTGAAAATGAACCCTTTGTTTCTTGTAATCTGCTAAGATGCTCCTGTAGATTGGATAAGTAGCCCCCAAAGTCCCATGTGTTGAAGGCTTTGTCACCACCACCCTATGGTGCTGTTGGGAGGTGATGGAAACTTTAAGAGGTGGGACCTATTGGGAGAAAGTTAGGTCACTGAGGATGTGTCTTGAAGGGGATATTAGAACCTAGCCTCTTTTCTTTCTTTGCTTTTCCAAAATTAAGTGAGCAGCTCTTCTGCCATGTGCTCCCACCATGATGTACTGTCCCACAACAGTCCCAAAGCAGTAAGACAAGAAAAACATGGAAGGAAATCTTTGAAACTATGAGCCAAAATAAACCATATTCCTTATTAAGTTGATTATGTCAGGTATTTTGTCACAGTGCTGAAAGCTAACTAACACAAATGCTAAGTAATATTATCAATAATATTACTTCCAAAAATAATGTGAAACTTAAGGATGATTAATATGAAACAAAGTTGAAATTTTCTTTATCTGATAGAGCCATCTAAATAAAAATAATTATAAATTTAAACTAAACAATAAAGTTCCCCAATTTTTGAATTTTTTTTTATAATTTTGAATTTTAGATAGTGAATTTTATCATGATTTTCAAAATGCTTTTTTAATCTTATTACTTGAATTTTACAGTGGAAAGTAGGAAGATAAACATGTTTATGTAGGCTGTAAGTTTCCTTATCCTGATAAAATAACTTGGGTCTTTAATAAGAGTTAATTGTTAAATTTCTAGGTTCTCTTCACAACACATGGTTTTGTACTGCATGAATTCTGCCTAGACAACAGTATTTTATAGTCTCCCACATTATCACTCCTTTTCTAAATGTTATTTTATAATTACATGAAACAGTATAAATTAGTAAGTTCCATTTCAAAATCTTACTTTGTAATATTGTTCTTTTCCAGGAAGTGACGAATGTATACCCACGTGCTGGAAAAGAGAAGGTTTATGCTGAAGAAGTATGTGTTTCTGGCGTTTTGAACATTCTTTCTGAGGGAAAAAATGAAACAAGAATCTTCTGTAAAATTCCAGCTATTCCTTTTTATCACATTTACAGACAACAGGAGTTTTATGATATTCATTTTTGCTAGAGTTCTATATTACTATTTTAAAATTTAAAACCTTTAGTTCTTAGCACTTTCTTCATAATAGAGCAAAAGAGTTGGGCTAGGAGAAGGTTTGGGTTAAAGCCTGTATTTTCATGAACTCCATCTCAGAAAATAAGGCTGCTATTGAGCCTGCTACCATTTTCCTTTCCTTTCTTTTCATTTTAATAATTTAAATGAAAATTTAGTATTTCCCTATCTTTTTCTATCACACTACATTATTCTGCCTTTCTCTTCCTGTACTAATCAGTATACACAAGAATTTTTTTTTTATTAATTGATTTTATTTTTTAAATACGTGGCAGCGGAATGCATTACAATTCTTACTACACATATAGAGCACATTTTTTCATATCTCTATTTGTATATAAAGTATGTTCATATCAATTCATGTCTTCATACATGTTCTTAAGAGGTTTCTTTTCTTTTTTTTTTTAAATAGCACATTTACTCAGATGAATTTCTACTCAATACCGAATGTAGGAAAACATTGTATTAACGGATCATTTTTATAATTATAACAATTTAATGATCTAGAGTTAACTCAATTTGAAACTACATCAGATAAAATTGGTTGAGGAGTTAAAATGTAACAAGTATGACAATATTTGTTAAGCCATTAATACAGCTCTGGTGGGAGTGTATTGTCAAATGTGACTTCCCAGCAGGACACCCCAAAGAGCCTGCTGGTAAAGTCAACCTGCATGAATCACATATGGCAGTAAGGAAAGCAACACCCAAGGAAGTCCTTGTAGTATCTGGTCAAATCTTTTGCCTTTTTTAAATTTGATTGTTGCTGTGTTTGTGAATTCTATGTATATATTCTGAATATAAGTCCCTTGCTGGATATGGAATTTATCAATATTTTCTTTTACTCTGTGTTCTCTTGTCATTCTCTTAACGGTGTCTTTTACAACACAGAAGTTATTTATTTTTTTTCACTTGGATGAAGTCCAAGTTTCTTTCTATTTCCATTTGACTGAGAGATTTTTATCATGAGTAGATATGGAATTTTGTCAAATAATTTTTTGGCTTTTCTTCCTTAGAATCTTTTTTTTCCCCAGAGCTATTTATTTTATTTATTTATTTTTATTAGTTGTTCAAAACATTACATAGCTCTTGACATATCATATTTCATACATTTGATTCAAGTGGATTATGAACTCCCATTTTTCCCCTGTATACAGATTGCAGAATCACATCGGTTACACATCCACGTTTTTACATACTGCCGTACTATTGTCTGTTGTAAATGGATAGATTATATTGTATAGTTTTCAAATATTAAGCCAGTCTTGTATTCATAAGATAAGTAGCAATTGGCATGTGTGTTACTCTTTTTATGTACTGCTGGATTCAATTTGCTATTTTTTAGATGAGAATTTTATGTTGATATTTATGAAAATATTTGTCTTTGTTTTGTTTTGTTTTGTTCTTTGGCATTATCTTTGCCTGGTTTTCATATCAGGGTGAAATGGGTTGGGATAATTGCCATTATTTCTTCCTTCAATGTTTAGATAAAATTCATTTTTGAGACAATCTGGACCTGGAAATTTCTCTCTCAGAAGGTTTTTCACTGTTAATCTAATTTCTTCAGTACATATATTACCATTCAGGTTGCCTACTTATTTCCAGATGAGTTTTGGTAGTTTGCAAATTGTGATGAATGGTTCATTTCATTTAAGTTGACAAATTTATAAGCATAGAACGCTTTGTAGTGTTACCTGTTTATCCTTTTAATGTGTGTGAAGCAGTCATGATATTCTCCTTCATTCTGATATGGTAACTGTGTCTTCTTTTTTGTCAGTTGTTAGAAATGTATCAGTTTCATCGTTCTTCACAGAACTAGCTTTTGGTTCCATTAATCTCCAATGGGTTGTGCTTTTATTGTTTTCTGCTTTTGTCATTATTTGCTCCCACTGCTTGCTTTATTTTGCCCTTATTTTTTACTTTATTAAGACGGCAGCAGATGTTAATGTGAGAGTTTTCTTCTAAGATTTAGATGTGATGCTATAAATTTTTCTCTAGTGCGTTAGTTGGGTGCCACAAATATTGATACACTGTATTTTCATTCAGTTTAAATAATTTTCTCATTTCCTTTGAGGCATCCTATTTCACCCTCAGTTTATTGAGAAGAGTGTTGCTTGCTTCCCATACATTTGAGATTTTACTTACCTTTCTATTATGATTTCCAATTTGAGTGTGCTGTGGTCAGAGCATACTTTTTTATTATTTCAATTTAAATTTGATAGGCTTTGTTTTATGACTCGAGGTGTGACTATTTTGGTGACTTTTCTATGTGTATTTTAGAAGAACTCATGTTTCACTATTGTTGGGTATAGTGGTTTTTAAATATTCATTAAATCCAGTTGGTAGCTGTTGATTTTCAGTTCTTTGCTCTCCTTGCTGGTTTTTGTCTGCTTAGAGGAGAGTATTAAAAAAATCTCCAACTATATTTGTGGATAAATATATTTCTCCTTTCAGTTCTGTTAGATTTTACTTCATGTATTTTGAGACTCTCTAGTTGGATGCATATACTTTTAGGATTGATATGTCTTCTGGGTGAACTCAGCATTCAGCACATAATATCTTTCTTGATCTCTTTGTTTTTTGTTGGTCTGAAGTCCACTTTTGTATTAATGTAGTTACTCTTACAAATTTCCTTTGATTTGCATCATATATATTTTTTCATGTGTTACTTTTTTTTTTTTTTTTTGAGACAGCTCTCACTAATTTACTTAGGGCCTTGCTAAGTCGCTGAGGTTGGCTTTGAACTTGTCATCCTCCTTCCTTAGCCTCCAGTGTCACTGGGCTTACAGCATGCACCACAATGTCCAACTTCCATGTATGACTTTCAATCTATACCTTACATTTGAACTGAGTATAGACATTGACTGTTGTGTCATTTAAAAAGTTCTATTATGATGATCTCCTAATTGGCATATTTTGTCCATTTATATTTAATGTAAATACTGGAATGTTTGCATTTATGTCTACCATTTTTTTTCCCCATTTGCTCATTCTATCTTTGGCTCTGTTTCCACTTTTCACAGCATTTTTGGTTTATAAGTACTTCATTAATTGTGCAAAAATATTGGTAAAAACATTAAGAGAGAGTATCAAGTTTAAAAAATTGATTTGGGTTGGTAAACAAATTTTAGGTAATTACATAAGACAGTGTTTTCTTAAAATAATTGGTATTTATAAAGTAAAGAAATACTCACAAAATTTTCTGCTGGATCACACATCTTTACCTGAAATATGGTCTCCAAGAGCAAGTCTATGGGTTTATCTTTGTAGAACATTAGAAAAAAATGTACAAAGCCAGGCAAGTCCTCGGTTCTAAACAGTTTTCCTATAGGTAAAAGTAAATAAATACAAATAATTCATAAATAGTTGTCCATTCCATTAAACATGGAAAAAGAGCAACTATAAAAACTTAAATATAACCTCTTCTTTAGAAGTCAAGTTTAAAGCATCAATGAAGTTGGAAGAAGAGAAAGTAAAATACTGTGTCTGCTTAAGTATTGATTAAGGGTTACCAGTTCTGAAGAAAAGAGGGTAAGCTGGTTTAGATTCACTGATACTCTCAGGAAATCAATTTTGATATCTAGTACAAATTGGTTGTCCAAAATGAAGTGAAAGATAAGTAAATGGAGTGGAGAGTACAAGAACTGTAATCTCTTATTGAACTTTGTACAACTGTGATTTTTTTTACCTGACTTATGTAACATTTTATCCATCTACTGCCTACTTACCTTTAGTACTTAATTTTTATTAAAATACTGTATTATTTTGATATTTGAGCACATTATTTGACTTTTTTAATATTAAGATTCTTAAAGATTTACTATGTTTAAAATATGATTTTATCAGGTCTAATTACTTTTTTCTAATATACTGCATCTTTAATTTTAAAGTGAAATAAGAGGAATAAGATTCAGTTAAATGGTCACTTTATTCATGCAAAATACATTTAACCAATTAATAAGCATGATCATAGGATGCGAGCATGTTTCAATTTTCCTTGAAACTTGGATTTTTGTGGGTGATTTAATTATATGGCTATATCTTAACTTTTGGCACTCATTTACATATTAGCCAAAGCAAGGGATTCCATAACAGGAAGAGTTAATTCATTTCCCCATCTGCTGATAGCATGCTGTAAAATTCTATTTATCAGGTTCATGTTTTTGGTAAATAATAAATAACAGAATTTTCATCACGACACAGCCAAAACCTACACAAAGTTAAGCCTCAGTAAGACTTTGGTGTCATGTCCAGTTTATATGTGGTGATTAAAATGTAAATACCCTGTGCTTCTTGTACTTGAAGTTCTTGACACAGAAAATTCTTTGAGAATATTAAATTCTCAGAGTAATACAACGAGATTATTTCCTCTTGAAGCTTCTCATCAGGTATTATGTTTACCTATGATATTTTTCTTATTTTAGCCAAGGCTGAGTAAAAAACCTCTGAAGTTTAAAATGTTGTGGAAACTTTGGGGAAAGCAGTGTGATCAAGTAAGTATATAAAGAACAGATTGACCTTACTAGCAATCAGTGAAAGGCTTTATGGTCCTCCCAATGGCAAATAAATAAAGACAAATGTTGACAAGCACATGATCCCCAGAAGCAAGACCTCTAGAGCGCTTATGAGAGCATCAACTACAGCCAATCTGCAAAGCAATCAGCTGTATTTGTCCTTAGCAATTCCTCCCCACAGGACATATAGGTCCTTTCTTTTTTTGTCTCTGGTAGTAGAAAATTGATAACAATCAAGGTCTGCCACTCAGGGAGTGGGTAAATCAAATGGACTAACACTCAGCATACATGCAGCAGTAAAAATAAATAAGTAAATAAAGAGAATGGACATAAAGCAACATGTTGAGAGTTTAAACATCTAGTTTTGCTGGCACAGTGTATGCCTGTAATCCCAGAAGCTCAGGAGGCTGAGGCAGAAGGATTATGTGTTCAAATACAGCCTCAGCAATTTGGTGAGGATCTAAGCAACTCAGTGAGACTCTGTCTCAAGATAAAAAATAAAAAGGGCTGGGAATGTGGATCAGTGGTAAAGCGCCCCTGGGTTCAATCCCTAGTACCAAAAAAAAAAAAAAAAAAAAAAAAAAGAAGAAGAAAGAAAGAAAGAAAATCTAATTTTGAGGAAAAATGTAAGGGAAAGAAATAGGCTTCTGTTATTACTAATTATGTAAATTTACAACAGGTACAAACAAGAGAAGCATCAAATATTTTACATAGATATGTGCAGATTTGTAAGTGCATCTCAACATGTTAGAATGAAAAGCTCGTAGTGGGTGGGGGAAAGTGAGAGCAGGGATTAAGGATAAAAGAAAGTAAGAGAGGGTACCTGTATGAATTAGTAACGTCAGGCACTGTGAAATGCGTACTGTTATTCAACTCGCTGCCTTGGGGTTCAAAAGGAACAGAAGGGTAGAAAGACGGAAGGTGGAAAGAACAGAAGGAATAAAAAAGAAAGTCTATGGAAGAATTGTTAAAAAAAAAAAAAAATCACCCAGCTGGATGTGGTGGCGTGCACCTGTAATACCAGTGACCTAGGAGGCATAAGCAGGAGGATCCCAAGTTCAAGGCCAGACTTGACAAATTAGCAGGACCGTGTCTCAGAATTTTTAAAAGGTTAGGGGAGAAACAGGGGTATAGCCCAGTGGTACAGCACTTGCCTAGTGTGTGCAAGGCCCTGGGTTCAATCCCCAACACCACCCCAATCACATTATGGGCAGTTTAAGGAAATTTTCTGAGGTGGGTATAGTTCATATCATATTTCTATATTGTTAAAGAATGTTGGCTTTATCATACTGGGAATTGCAGAGATAAAATTCCTTTCTGTAGAACTTCTGTTCTTTGATATTCAAAATTTCAGGGGAGAAAGGTTGCTGGGGGGGGGGGGGGTTTGAACCCAGGCCCTTAAAAAAGCTCTTCCATCGGGCTATACCTTTGGTCCCTCGGTATTCTCCTATGTAAAAAAAAAAAGAAAAGTACATCTTTTTCAGAGAGCTACTATGCCAGACTCTTAGCAACCACTTATAATTTTTTTATACATAACTGTATATATGTTGATCTGCACATGTTTAGGGTATATCTAGAAAAAAACTTTCGCTTAGGAAATGCTGAAATTCAGGTACTTGAACATGACTTTATTATTAAAATAATAATATCTTTACAGGAATCATGCCATTCCTTTCCATTTGGTAACAAACTCTTTGACAAGTTGTTAAAAAGTTTTGAGACTATTGTGTGCTACAAAATCTTGATCCAGCAAAATAAACCAATTGCTTACCTATGAATCCAAGTACTGAAAACTGAATATAAAACCAATTATTCGAAGTGATATTATGTAAAAAATCTGTCATTTTTGTGAAGTACATCTTTCTAGCTATGATATCATCTTCTAGCTGGAAAAAAATAAAACCAAAAGGGCATTACTTCAATGCTTCTATTGTATAAGTTATATTAACTTGAAGATAGAAAATACTAACAGTAGAATGCGCTGAAAGTGGGTTTTATGAGGTTAATAATTTAATTTTTAGTTCCATTCACTGAGGATATTCACAACTAGTCAATTTCCATTCTCTGATTCTGAGACTAAACAGACCCAGGGCTATTTTTTTTCCTTTCCTAAATTCTAATCTATAACATTCAATTCAAGACCTTCTTGAAAGAGTCTGTCTGAATCCATTTTCATCCCCACAAATACTTCAGCTTCTAGGCTAAGACTGTCTTAGGTTTGGGGGGCTGTTGTTAAAAGAAAAACTCTTATAGACAGGCTGACTTTCTTCTTATAGTTCTGAGGCTTGGAAGCCAATATCAAGGTGAGGGCAGATTTTGTGTCTGCTGAGGGTTGTATCTTCAAGCGTGGCATCTTCTATGTGTCTTCACATGGTGGAAGGAACTAGCCAACTCTCTGAAGCCTTTGTCATAAGGGCACTAATCGCAATCTCCAGGGCTTCACCCCTATGATCTAATCACATTTTAAAGGCACCACTTCCTAATATCATCACTTTGGAGGTTATAGTTTCCGTACAGTAATTTGGGGCAGAGGTACACACATTCGAGCCTAACAAAGAGTAACTAGCATTATGCTTGGATGATAAGTGCCATGTTCTGTCTCCAACTAGTACAGCTGACAAAGTTGTCCTCGGCAAAGAGGTGACAAAAAGGAACTGGGCATTCCTGTCCAGGCACTAAGGAACTAAAAAAGACCCTGTCTCTAAATAAAATACAAAATAGAGCTTGGGGATATTGCTTCGAAGTCCAGTACCCCTAAGTTCAATCCTCAGTCCCCTCCTCCAACAAAATAAGAGAGGGGTGGAGATGGAAATGAGAGTTTTCTTTTTCACTCAATATTTACTATACACAATCCATAGACCAAAATTGCCCTCAAAATGTTCAGAAAAACGTGGAACTCCTCAGGCACACTAACCAGGGCACAAAATAGAGTTGTTTTTCAGACTGGAACGAGAACACTGACTGATCTTATGTTTCTATTACATTGCCACCAGATGGGTATCAAAAGGGATTTTTTTTTCAGTAAAAGATTTTGTTTTGGGCCCTTGTATCTCTCCAAAGATATTCTGGCCCTACTCTCCAAAGATATTCTGAAAATAATTTTGACAAGTGCATATTGTTTACATACTTCTACTGGGAATCATAGCGTTACCATTCAGTGATGTGCAAGGACTGAGAGGGTACACACGATGTATGTTGATTTTTACCAATATAATAAGGAACTACAGAACTGTGCGACTCTCAAAGTGTGCGGTATACAATGTCTGACATAACACAAGTGCTCAGGGCTGGGGTTGTGGCTCAGTTGCATAGTGCTTGTCTAGCACATGTGAGGTACTGAGGTACTCAGCATTACATAAATAAAATAAAGTTATATAAAAAAAGAGTATCTCATGCGTATTAAAAAAAGTGCTCAACATATATTTGCTGAGTATAGTAAAATTGTGGGCAGAGAAATATAGGCAGAGTAATTTCTATTTTTCCCCCCAATTTTATATTTTCTCTTTAGTTTCATTCAGGTAACTCTAATTTCCTCTGTTACAGTGAACCCTGCAAGAATGTTAATATAGAAACAATTCAAGCTTCATTTTGGCATTTGGATATAATGATATATTCTATTTTCTGGGTACAAACTAAGGTGGAGGAACACAATTGAGGAAATGTTTAGTTAGCTTTTTTACTGTTGTGACTAAATGAAGAGGAAGAGTTTATTTGAGGGCTCATAATTTCAGAGGTCTTAGTCCATAGAAGGCTAGCTCCATTCCTCAGGGCTCAAGGTGAGGCTGAACTTCATGGTGGAAGAGTGTGGTGGAGGAAAGCAGCTCACATCAAGGAAACAGAGAAAGAGGTCTCCACTGGCCAGATATATACCCCAACACCATGCCCCAATTCCCACCTCCTCCAGCCACACCCTACCACTTCAGTTACCACCCAGTTAATCCCATAAGGGGACTGATTCACTGATTGGGTTAAGACTCTTATAACTCAATCATTTCTTCTCTGAACCTTCTTGCATTGTCTCATACATGAGCTTTTGGGGGACACCTCATATCCAAACCATAACAGGAAGAAAGGATTTAAAAGAAGGAAGGAGAAAATAGTATTTTCAATTACATATATACCAAGTTCTCACCTGTAAATAATACATGGCCTTGGATTGGGCATACAGCATCAATATACAAAAATCCAATACTTGTTTCATGTGCCAACTAAAGATAAGCAATAAAATCTGTTAATGTTTGTCATTATTATTTAATTTAAAAACATGTTTCAGTAATCCAAAACATTTTTTTATAGTTTACTCACTGCACAGTAGCAATATTAAATAAAAGTGGACAAGTTCATACTAAAACTTACACTAGAAACCTCCCATCTTTATTCAATGGGAAGTACCTGCCATTGCTAAACTAGGCTAAACATTACCTATGTAATTATTTCATTTTGTTACTTTTTGATCTATGTAATAAAATTAATATTCTTTCTGATATGCCTCATTTATAGGAAGTTATAAAAAAATATCTTTACAGGGGATGGGGATGTGGCTCAAGCGGTAACGCGCTCTCCTGGCATGCGCAGGGTGCTGGGTTCCATCCTCAGCACCGCATAAAAATAAAATAAAGATGTTGTGTCCACCGAAAACTGAAAAATAATTAAATTATTTTAAAAATTCTCTCTCTCTCTTAAAAAAAAAAAAACCTTACGGTAATTTGACACTACACTAGATACTGATATGAAGAACGATTTGCAATTCCATTCTCGCCCTTTGGGATCTCATATTCAAATCTGAAAAGATGGACAACGTGTATGTATCATACCTCTTACGCTCTGAGACAGTTGGCCGCTGGGTATGTAACCTATCTGGGTATAAAAAGGCTGGTACTGAAATGACCTCTAGGGATCCAGATTTCACTTGCCTTCTGAATCTGTAAATGTAAGTAAATGGTGGCTTATAATTGAATATATACTGAATTGACCAAAATAACATAAATACTTTGATATAACTTCTTTATACATAGCTATGTAATATTTTCTTTTGAATTATTTTACTTATTGATATATGTTACCACATCATGTAACCACTACTGAAAGTATTCATTTTAAAAGTTCATGACAGATTGAAACATTAAGATATATGATATAAAACTCATTTCCTCATAAAAATTACAAGAACTTTGAAATTTTTAGGTTATGATCAGAGAAGTCCTCACACACTTGACAAGGGAACTAATATCTTATGATAATAAAGTAGTTTCAACTAAGCAATAACACCACATCATTTTTAAATGCATAACTTTGAAATGAGTAAGAGTCCTACTGAATAGCAATGTGACCCCTGGAACCAGACTACCACAGCACGGGAGGGTTAAGTCTCACTCTTGTCCATAACTCCTTGGAAAACTATGATTACATTTAAAAGTTAATATTGATAGACTAATAAGGACATCACTAAAATACATAAACTCCTTCTCACTGAAGCTTTAACCATGGAGAGAAAGGATAGAAGACCAGATAGAACATTTTAAATGGTCTTCTGTTAGAGACAGATAATATGCTTTTAAATAGGATTTAAATTTAGGCATGAGTTTTTATTAATATGTTAAAGTTTCAAGAAAATGTTTGTGTTTTACTTCCTGAAAATTTAAATAAAGTAGGACAAAGTTTTATATGCGTGATCTCAATATGCTCAATCAGCTCAATGACTACCTTCTTGAAAAAGTGTTCAACATCCACGGGTGTCATGTTAATTCGTAACAATACAGTTCCTACCAAAGTCCTTCCTTTGTTTTTTTTTTTCTTTTACTGGTACTGGGAATTGAACCCAGAGGTGATCTTCCACTGAGCTACATCTCCAGCCCCTTTTTCATTTTTATTTTGAGATAGGGTCTTGTTAAATTGCTCAGGCTGGCCTCGAAGTTACAATTCTCCTGCCTCAGCCTCCTGAGTCTCTGAGATTACAGGTATGCATCTATAATCAAGAAGTTTCAAAATTATTCTTTTTTTTTTTTTTTTTGTACCAGGCATTTTACCACTGAGCCATATACCCAGTATTTTTTATGTAGTTTTTTTATTTTGAAACAAGGTCTTGCTAAATTGCTCAAGGCCTTACTAAGTTGCTGAGACTGGCTTTGGATCCTCCTGCCTCAGCCTTCCAAGCCTCTGGGATTACAGGCATGCACCACTGTGCCCAGCTCAAAGTCCTTCTTAATAATATCATAATGATTCATCAGTATGTTCCAATGATTGTAAGCAGAAGAGGTGAAGTAATTTCATGCCGTGAGAAATATAAGAGTGTTTTGAACACAATTTAGTTTCTCTTGGGGGCAACCAATTTCATGAAGGCTAATATCATAACAACTATTGCATGAAAAAAATTGAATTCCAGTAAGCAAATAAACTATAAAATTGGAGCAAATCATCAGCTATCCTTTATCCCAGGTTAGGAATAATAGCAGATTCTTTATGCAAAATTCCATTCACTCAAAAGAATGTGATAAATAATAATACAATCAGACAGAAAAAAAAACAGTATTATAGAGAAATGAATCTGGCTAATTTAAAATTTATAAGACAATACTTACCTTTTCATAATCATGTCAACAACAGACTTTAAATAATCTTCATTACTCTAAAAGTAAGAAAAAAAATGTAAGTTTAAGTATGCCTCAGTTGTATTAACTTTTTTATTTTATTTTATTTTATTTTTTTTTTTGTACCAGGGATAGAACTCAGGGGCACTCGACCACTGAGCCACAACCCCAGCCCTATTTTTGTATTTTTTTTACAGACAGGGTCTCACTGAGTTGCCTAGTACCTTGCTGCTGCTGAGGCTGGCTTTGAACTCTTGATCCTCCTGACTCAGCCTACTGAGCTGCTAGGATTACAGAACTGCACCACTGCATCCGGCCTCATACAACATTTTTGCTACAAGTCAATTTAATTTATGTGTGGAATGTTATTATTTCCTGATAATTTCTAGGTTTTTACACTTTCTTTAAGAGAACTAAAAATAAACAATTTTCTTTAAAAGCTTTGACTTCAATGTAGAAAATATTTTATTCTTCTCCTTTGCCATGGTAAGATATTATAATCTATTTTTACACATAAAAATCAGGATAACAATTTTATGTATCTAGAGCCAGGTGCAGTGGCCCATGTCTGTAATACCAGCAACTTGGTTTGAGGCAGGAGGATCACAAGTTCAAAGCCAACCTCAGGAATTTAGCAAGGCTGTAAGAAACTTAATGAGACCATGCCTCAAAAAAAAAAAATTAAAAAGGGTATGGCTCTATAACTAAGCATCCCTTGGTTCATTTCCTGGAAACACCCTCCTCCCCCACTGCCTGCCAAAATAAAATCTCATGTATGTACTTAAAAATGTTGTGGTAATCTTAGAACAACTTATTGCAAAGAACTTCTCTTTGGGGAAAACCCTTCATTTTATGTGTATTAGCTGACAGTAAACTTGCTTTAAAATTACCCTACATTGCACTGGGGATATAGCTCAGTTGGTAGAGTGCTTGTCTTGCATGCATAAGACCCTGGGTTTGATCCCCAGCACCACACACACACACACACACACACACACACACACACACATTTTTCCAGACAGTATTACTTAATTCTCAAATTTCTTTCTGTGAATAAACTTTGTGCACCTGCCCTTCAAACATCAGAATAGATGACAGATCATTTGTGAAAAGCTTTTGATGGTTTACCCTCTCAGATGATTAAAAAAAAGGAAAAAATTTTCGCATTTACAAGATGTGACCTCAGGATCCATAAACATATCCAATATAAAATTCTGAAAGTATTCTGATGACAGAATGACAGTTCTGTTGTCAAACTGGAGTACTCTGAAAGGCAACTCTGAAAGTATGTAACTGGGTTGTTTGAAAATATCAGACATGATATAATATTTGAATTTCTTATCATAATCATAATCAAATCAATAACTATTTGTCATGCACTGAAACAACATTATAATTTAAACCAGGCATCAAAGTTATACTTCTTAAGCCTTCTACATTCTACTTTAAAATTAATTCCCCAATATCTTATTAGTCTACACATTTTACACAGATGTGCCTTGTGTATATGTTATGTTTGCATCTAAAAATGTTCCCCAAAGGCTTATATGCCAAAGGCTTGGTCCCACCATGTGGTGCTACTAGAAGATGGTTTATAAAAGGTGAAGTCTAGCTAGGTGTGGTGCTGCATGCCTGTAATAACAGCAGCTCAGGAGGCTGGGACAGGAGGATCACAATTTGGAGACCAGTCTCAGCAATTTAGCAAGGCCCTAAGCAACTTAGCAAAATCCTGTCTCAAATTTTTTTTTCTTAAAAAAGGCAGATGCTTGGGATGTGGCTCACTAGTTAAGCATCCCTAGGTTCAATCCCTGATACCAAAAAAAAAAAAAAAAATGGGTCTAGTAAAAGGAAATTAGGTCATTAGAGGGTGTGCTCTTAAAGGAGATGTTGGAGCTCCTTCCCTTTTGTCTCTCTGCTCCCTGGATATCCTGAGGTGAGCAGTTTTGTCCACCATGTGTTCCCACCATGAAGTACTGTGCTACCACAGGCCCAAAGGCCACATGGCCAAGCCTCCATGGACTGAAACCTATGACACTAAGCCAACCTAAACTTTTCCTCCTTTTAAGTTCATTGTCTTCGGTATTTTGTCACAGTAACAGAAGGCTGACTTGACATGGTATGCTTCCAATAGTAAGAAATTAAATTAGAACAAACTAGAATGACTATTTAATCTTTGACTTCTATTTTCCTAATAATTCTTCTATTGCTTGTTTTGTTTATAGGTTCTTATTTTTCTACATATAAATACATCTTTATTATTGGAAATTCAGACAACAAAGGGAATAACAAAGGAAGAATAACAAAGATTCCTCTCTTAGCTTTCAAATAAAACTAATATTAATATCTTGGAGACCATTATTCTAAAGTTTGCTCAATTCTTTTTCTTCTATATATATTTGCTCTATCTATATGTCCTTTTTCTTCTTCCTTCTCGTTTTCATAGATAACATTAATTTCATGTGATGTTTTTCAACTTTTTTAACTCAGCAATATAATATGGACATGATTCTGTATCTGTGTGTATAGATTTTCAGTCTCCTTTCAATGGCTGGCTACAGAGTATCACATTATAAAAATATATAACAAAGTGTTTAATCATCCTGTTAATGATAGGTATTTGTGGTATAAGTCAATATTATGCTTTTATAAAGCAATGATACACTTACTCTGTACCATGCACTAAGTATAGGTTCATTAAATATATTAGCTAATCTTGTCCCCAAACACACTTACCAAATAGATAATATTATCACCTTGATTTTACAGATAAGGAGAGTGAGGCATAAAGAAGTTAAGTAAGTTGTTCACCTTCGGGAGCCAGGCATTGGAACCCCAGCAATGCAGATCTAGATTCTGCACCCTCAACTATCATGTGATCTTGCTGTATTTTTATTGTGTTAAATACCTGCCTGATTATCTCCTAAGGATAAGTTCCCAGAGTCTGGATTCCTGAGACAAAGGATATATACATTTTAATTATGAATCATGTCAAATTTCTCTCCAAAAAGTCTTATGGCATTAATATTTCTACAGTACTTTATGGTTTGACTCAAATTTTCAAAATAGTACAGTGATTATTAAGCTGGCAGTAGGTACAAATTAGAAGTCTTTATAGCCATCGGGGAGACCAAAATTTAAATCTGCTGTATTAATCACCAGGTAAATTACTTAGTTTCTTTAAGCTCAGTTCACTATAAGGCTGAGACATGATGGTGATATCTACTTTACACTGATGTAATGCAGGCTGTAAGTCATGTCTAGAAAAATCGGCCACAATTCCTCAGTGTAGAAGGAGTCTTTCAATTAATGGTAGTTACTGTTACTTAATATAAATTATCTCTGGATCCATATACCAACCTTTCATTGAATTACTGAAGCATCAATTTTAATATTCTGTTTGTAAATATCATTTCTGTGTCTTATAGTATGCCTGGACCCCATATCAAATGCAATGAAAATTCAGTGACCTTATGTCTCTCACATTAAGCCATTATGTTGTCTTTTTAGATTTATATATTTAATTCTTCTTAGTTGTGCCAAGCAAGGATTAAATATATCGGCTGCAATCCCCAAAAGGCATCTACGTTTGTTTTGGTTTTTTGGTTTTTGGTTTGTTTGTTTGTTTTGATTAAACGAAGAAAGTGGCACCATGATTACAACTGAGAAAGGCAACTTGGAGACTTTAGGGTGAGAGTTTTTCATACATACATCTGCAATAGAGACAATCACCACGGAGTCCTTCTCTTCTGAAGGTGTCATCCTAGTCATGATGGAGTTCAGAGTTTGCTTCAGGTAACTATGTGCTCCTCTGTTAACCGTGGAAATACCTAGAGCAAAGGTAACTACAGACAAAGGATTAGGAGGCTTAAACCACAGAGCAAACATAATTTAGCATTAATTCTGTGCTCATTTCTATGCTTGGGTTAGTCTTGCAGCTACAATATTTGAAACCATATTACAAAACTAATTCAGACTATATTAATTTTATCACATTTTTTCATTTTCTGTTGGAGGAATTTCTGTTGGAGACTCCATGATGTTCTTATGTTGATGTTCTTATGTCTTATGATACAGTGAGAATAAAATCAAACTCTTCCCATTTGTTAATAGCTTTCACCTAACTCACAATGGCTGATTTCTCTACTCTTCTTCCTAGGGACACACTGGAACCCCCCAAACAGGAAAAAAGTGCCGTGAAATATTTTCATCTGTGAAAAAAAAAAAGTCTGACGTGATTTCTGAATGGTTTGATGGAATGAATCCACGTCCTCAGTGCCTGCCATTTCCTATAATAAGTGCAGCACTGGGGGATAGGCCATGTCTTCCTGGCTGCCCCTGTATCCTGCTGCATGAGGGCAGGCCACACATGCAGCCTCTCCACTTCCCTTTCCCACCTGGAAGGTGGAGGAGGCCCTCAGGAATGGCTAGGTGAGGCCCTCAGAAGATCCTCTTTATAGAAGGCAGAGATAAAACTGAAAAAAAAAAATAGTGAAAACAATCATTTCCGGATTCTGGCAGATAACAAACTGAGAAATGTTTAGTTAAGAAAAACTAACTTTGGTAACAACAGGAGGAGTCGTTATTTCACTGATTACTTTTTTTTATTTTTTTGTACCAGGGATTGAACTCAAGGGCACTTGGCCACTGAGCCACATCCCTATTCCTATTTTGTATTTTATTTAGAGACAGGGTCTCACTGAGTTGCTCAGCGCCTCACTTTTGCTGCATCTGGCTTTGAACTCTCAGTCCTCCTGCCTCAGCCTTATAGGCATGTGCTGCCTGCCCAGCTCCACTGATTACTTTTGAGTCTGGACACGTTTTCATATGTTTGTTGGCCTTTAGATTCCTGTTCTGAGAAATCCCTGTTTAAGCCCTTACCCATTTCTCTACTGAGGTATCTGCGTTTTAAAAATTGACGGATGGACGCTCTTTACAGATTCTGAATATGACCCTTTTGTCAGTTATGTGTGTTATAAATATCATCTTACACTCTGGAGTCCCTTTTCAATGTTTTGCCTCTTGATGGAGAGAAATTCTTCATTTTTATGAAGTACAATGTAGCAATGATTTTCTTCATAGTTCACACTTTGGGGCTCTTATTTAGAAACCTTTGCTTATCTTCAAGTCATGAAGACATTCTCCTGAGTTATCTTCTAGATGACTTATTGTTTGCCTTTCAGATTTGGAAATATGATTCAGCTACAGTTGATTTTCACGGACGCTGTGAGGCAGGAATGAAGCGGAGGGGTCTACCATCTATGTATTTTGGGGAAAGGCTTCCCAAGCCTTAGAGGGAAAAAACAATTTTGTGTTTTTGTGTTATTTTGATTTGTTTTGTTTTGTTATTGCTGGGGACCAAATCCAGGGCCTCACCCATGCTGGAAATCCCTCAGCCACTAAGCTATACCTCCCGTGCTCCTAGGTACATTTTAAATGCTATATTCAAAATATTCCCAGATTGAAGTTAAAGAGTTTGATAAGTATGAACTCAAAAAGCTCTTTAATCTCTCTAAACTTCATCTTTCTCAGGTGTGAAAAGGAAGACGGCAATAATCATCTGGATGACTGCATTGGACAGTACAGATTCAGTGGAATAATCAGAGAAAGCACAGAACTTAGCATGGGGGACACAGAAGGAACCCATCAGATGTTGAACAACACCACGTGGCATCCTAATCCTAACACAGAGGCTTGGATCACATGTCAGAGGCATGTGACACAGAGCCGGCCTGATCTCAAGGAGCTGTCTAGAGCAAAAGGGTTGGCAAATCTGTTCTGTGAAGAGTCACTCAACATATTAGACTCTTGGGACAAGCCATGTCCCAAGACTCAGGTGTTACAGGCTTAATTCTCTGCCCCTGGTAGTCTTGGGAGGTGATAGAACCTTTAAGAGGTAGAGCCTAGCAGGAGGCTTTGCAGTCACGGGGGTGTGCTCTTGAACAGGATATTAGACTCCCATCCCTTGCTGTCTCCCTCTTTGATTCCTGGCTGCCATGAGGTGAGAAGTTTGTTCCACCATATGTTCTTGTCCGTGATGTGCTGCCTCATCACAGACCCTAACAGAATAGGACACAAGACTCTGGACTGCAAGCCAAAACAAAACCTTCCTCTTTTTGATTATCTCAGGTGTTTTGTTACCATAAATGAACACTAACACACTGTCACAAATACCATCATGCTAATCTTGTACAGAAACAGACATAGATAATAAGTTAATGAATGAAAATGGTTATGTTCCTATGAACCTACATGTAAAATCACTCACTCTATGTAAAGTCACTCACTCTCTGAAATGAATGAGATTTGTGAGATGTCAGGCATTCAGAGAGTTGGCCTAATATTTCAGCTTCAACCTCCAGTTTTCTCTTATTATGTATACCTGGTGAATTTGAACTCAGTCTTCAAGACTGAACTCAAACATCACCCCTTCGGTAAAGCTTTTTCTGACCCCAAGAAAGGTAGGGAAATAGGAAGATAACCAGCTAAGAAAAGCTTTTATCAAAACCAGGGAGAACAGATTTGTCAAGCACTTAGCAGAGGTTTTATGTATATTTGATTCATATTGACTTACTTTCAAAGCTTCTGTATTAAGACTGAATTTAAATTCAAATCACTAAACATTTATGGAATTATTTGTCAGACAATATGCTGGTAGTTCAAGTTACTGTCAGATAGACTGGTGGCCTACAAATCAATTTGAGTATGATCGTAATGAATTATATTTTCAAACTTAAACATATATCCCCAAACATCAAAATATTTACATTTAATTTTTCAATTTCAAGTTTTCTTACCATCTCTTTTCCCTTTGCCAATGATTACATCAGGATAGACCCTGGCAACTTTCCTTAGATGTGGAAAAAAGAACTTCAAGGCTTCAAATCTATTAGATGCTGTTTCGTTCTCACTCGGGGTAACCGTTTTCTCATCTAAGAGAAGAAAAATAGTGCTTCTGAGTTAATAGCCACAGGGATATTTCCCCCCATGATACATTTTTAAAAAGGGGATTAGTAAATGAATCCAGATTAATTTAGTATTCAGGAGAAATATACTCTTAAATGAGAATTATCAAAATCAAAATACTATAATGTATAGCTCTAATATTAGTAACTAATATTTATTTTTAAAGTAATGTTTAATTTAAGCCTAGCACAATGAGCTATACCAGAGGCCCATACAACTGTCATTTGCAAATCAAGGAAATAAAACTAAAACCTATTACAAATGATTTCCTCTGTTACTTTGATTCATATCATTTTGTAAAGTTTGTATCTTTATAATTTGTTTTATATAATCCCTTAATGACCCAATTTGTACTATTCATTAGAATTTTCTTCTGTAATTCTGAAAAAAAAATACCTTGGAGACCTCACACAATCCAATTTTAACTGATATACATAATGCAGAAATCAAAGCAGTATGGTATTATATAAAAATAGATATGTAGACTAGTGGAACAGAGTACAGATTCATATACATATAGGTGAGATTTTTTTTTCTTCTGTTTTGTTTGTTTATTTTGTTTTGTTTTTGCAGTGCTAAGGATTGCCTGCCAGGCAAGTGCTCTGCAACTGAGCTCTGTCTCCAGTCCTGGTTGATTGATTTTGGAATTCAAGTCACTAACATTTATGGAGTTATTTTTTTCTACCAGACAATATGCTGACTTCTGGTAATTCAAATTCAAAGTGCAAAAGCAATCAATGCAAAAAATACAGTTAACAAAAACGTGCTAGAACACTTGGGCATCCATGTGGGGAAAAAAAATATCGAACCTTTGTCTGTACAAATATCACTTCTAAAAATTATCTTTAGAAAAAGTAAAAAACAGGGCTGGAGTTGTGGCTCAGTGGTAAAGCACTTGCCTGGCATGTGTGAGGCCCTGGGTTCAATCCTCAGGACCATATATAAATAAATGAATAAAATAAAAAAGATCCATTTACAACTAAAAAATATTTTTTAAAAAAGTAAAATACAGGGACTTTGATTGTGGCTCAGTGGTAGATGGCTTGCCTATCATATGTGAGGCACTGGGTTCAATTCTCAGCACCACAAACAAATAAATAAATATTTTTTTTTAAAAAGTAAAAGATATGAATGTAAAACATAAAAAATATGAAAATTTTAAAACAAAATATTCATGACCCTGAGCTATATAAAGAGGTCTTAGATACAATGCAGAACAAATAAATAACTAAACAAATAAAACAGTACACAATAGAAAAAATGATAATTAGTCTTCATCAAAAATTAATATATTAGTCTTCATCAAATATTTGCCCTCTGAAGAACATAATAAAGAAAATGAAAAGACATACCACAGACTGGAAGAAAAAATTTCCAATTCACATATTCATCTGACATATATCTGGCTAATATACAGAATTCTCAAAGCTCAGTGAGAAAACAAACTAGTCAATTTAAAAAAATGGGCAAAAGGATTTGAAAAGATATTTCTTCAAAGAAGATGAATGGCAAAAAAAAAAAATAATAATAAGTACATGGAAAAATGTTCAACGTCATTAGCTACTGAGGAAATACAACTTAAAACTCAGATCTTCTAACCCTAGCAGGGCTGTAATAAACTGGAGTGACTGAACTCTCATACGTTGCTGTAGAGAATTCAGAATGGCACATGCACTATGGAAAAATCTGGCAGTTTCTTTTCTTTTTGTTTCCAGGGATTGAACCCAGAGGTGCTTAACCACTATGCCACATCCCCAACACTTCTCATTTTTAATTTTGAGACAGGGTCTCACTAAGTTGCTTAGGCTGCCGTTGAACTTGTGATTCTCCTGCTCCCGCCTCCTGAGTCGCCAGGAGTATAGGCATGTGCCATTGCTCTGGCAAGTCTGGCAGTTTCTTACAAAGTAAAGCATGCACTTGCCATATGCTCCATCAGCCTGACTTTTAGGTAATAATCCTAAAAAAATGAAAAGTTATCTTCATAAAAAATGTATGTGAATCTACAGCAACAGTTATTTGTAATAGCTGAAAACTCAGAACACCCTCAATTGGTGAAAGGATAAACAATCTGTTTCCATTGTAAATACACACAATGGAATGCCACCCAGAAGTTAAAAAAAATAATAATAATTAATGATTGGTCTCAAAACAATTGGATGCATGTGTGCTAAGTGAAAGCCTCCCCACTACGTGAGTTCATTTGTATGGCATCTTGGAAAAGACAGTATAGGAACAGAGAACTGATTACTAGTGCCAGGGGTTGAGAATGCGAGGAAGGCTTGACTATCCAGGGGAAGCACAGGACAGGGATTTTTATCTTGCAGAGATGGGAAGCCACTGAAGGTGTCGTCTGCACTTTGGTTAAAGTCAATATAAATAGGTAGGAACAAGACTGAAGAGAAGAGAGAAAAATCAGGAGTATGGGTGATTCAGGTGAGGCGTGAAGGAGCTGACTGGTGTAGTGGAGAGGGCGGGGGGAAAATGCGGGCATACTTGTGAGATGCTCAGGATGAGGAATCAAGAGAACTGTGTGCTGCCTGACTGGGAGTGTGCAAGAGAGAGCAGGTGGGCTCACAGGTGATGCCCAGGTCTACGGCTGCATCTGTGGGGTGGATCCAGGATGGCACAATTCAGAGACAGAAAACAGGAAGAGCATCGTCAAGGTAGAGATGAGAGAGCGAATCCGTGATAATCTCTTACCTGATTTCTGTATGTCCCACAATAAAAGAATGGGTACCAGTTCATTGTGTTTAATCAAGGCAAAATGCCCTAAAATCAGAAGGCTTTAAATCAAAATCTCCAAAAAACAAAACCTAAAACCAACAAATCATCATACACAGAAAAAAAAAAGCAACACAAACCTAAGCTTCTGGATTCATTGTCTCTCAGTGTAATTTCATACTTCATCTGATTCAAGGCTTTTATCAGCTCCTGACGGTTGTTTTCAGTTTTGTTTTTTAAATGCAGCATAGTTTCCCTAAACTCCAAAACGTGGTTTCTACAACTAATTAATTGATTGTCTGCAAAAAAGCATATTTGCATATATTTATACATGTGGTAATTGTATCATACAAATTTACTGTAATAGCAAAACATATCATGGAAAATATATGAATCTATATTTATCTATCTATAATATATATACACACATAGAGAATGATACATGTTTATTATATGTATACATATGTGGATTTATACAGCATAACACGTGAGTAGATATGTACATATAGAGAAGACAGAAAAGGAAGAACAAAATGTTAGTAATAGGTGGAAATGAGATTCTTAAATATTTTTTGCCTTATTTCTTTGTACTTTTCCTATGTTTTCCAAATTGTGCAGGAATTAGATTTGCATTTAGAAGGGAAAATCCATTGACTCATAAAAAGTACTTTTTAAGAATTTATTTGAAAAAATGACCAGGACCGTGTGCACAGAGTTAGCTGGAAGACATTCAACATCGGCAGGCACAGAAGCCTACAGGAGGCAGAGATAGGTTTGCTGGTGAGGGAGGAGGCCTGCTAGGAGCATACAGAGTCCTGGAAACGAAGGAGGAAAGTCAAGTTGATGAGGGAGATCAACTGTTGAATGCATTGAAGGGACAAGGGTGACTTGGTGACTTTTGTGATGTGATGTAGGTGAAAGCCGATTTGGAGTAGATTCAGGAGATAACAGAAGAAGATTTAGAGACAGGAAGTTTGGACAGCTCTTTCTAGGAGCTTTGCTATATGAGAAAACAGAAAAATGAGGCAGAAACTAGAATGGGGTGGGGTCAAGAGAGATTTTTTTTTAAGGTGGAGGAAAATAATAGTCTTGGACACTGATGAATGTGATCCTAGAAACAGGGAGAATTTTACAAGACATGGGAAAGTAGACAAGAGGAGATGGAACCTAGGGGCTGGCTTTCGCCAGATTCAGGGACAGCTGTAGCTGTCACAACAGGACAGAGCCTGGTGAAATGGGCACTTCACGTGGAAGGTGGGCTTTCCCTTGGTGATGGAGCATTTGGAAGCTCTCTTCTTACTGCCTTTATTTCTCAGTGAAATAAGAACCACAGCACAGGCTGAGAGTGAAGGTAGTGAGGAGACACTGGAGGCTTAAGAGAAAGATGTACTAAATAATGTAGAAAAGGAGGAGGTTGGATGGGACAGGGGTGTGTAATACAATATTGAAGAAGCATTAACTTGAAGTTAGTGTCATGAATTTGAAGTGAAGTCATTTAATGCCTGTTTTACTCCAATTGTATGCAGTCATCGGGATAGCTATTCAGTGTAAAAGAAGAAATAGATTCATGAGAGTGTGATTTATCCAAATGAGTGTGACTGAGAGAAGCCAGGGATGCTCTCTTGAGGGTATATGCCAGGAAACTATGATCATTGTCCATGGAATTTTTTAAAAAGTGAGAATAAAGTAGTAGTGAGGGGCATGAAAAGGTAGAATAATCACAAGATTGTACCTTGGTGTGACAAAGTGTGACTGGCATTAGGGTACTAAAGAGGGTGACCTGGAAATTTGGAGATGGTGGTCAGAGATTGGGATGTTTGAAATGGACATTATGAAGCAAGCAGTTATTGCTAACGGCATGGTTAAAATCCTTAAGGAACGAGGGAGAAAGAGAGACCGGTGATTCTGAGTCACACAAGGAGAGAAGGTGAGGTGTCGTCTGATATCATCTGAGTAAATACTGAGGCAGTTGGGGAAGAATGGTGGAGGAAGTTCTGGAAGCAGCAGTGGGAAGGAAAGAGGGCATTTTCCCAACTTTGAGTACAAGTGGTTTGACAGAGAAAACAGCCACCACTTGAGACAGGCCACAGGGGAAGTTGGGTCCCCAGGGAAGGTCCAAGAACAAGATGGCACAGGGAACGTCAGAGAAGAGGATTCGATACAGGCAATTGTAGCACCTGACTGTGAATTCCAGAAAGCACAAGGATTTGGGAGCAATAGGAAGACTTCAGGCATAGAAATAGAAAGCTGGAGGGGCTAAATACACAGCATGTAGAAATTAGAGAGCAGAAAAGTAGAGACTGGGAGAAAGTCTTTAATGAAATCAGCCACAGAAGGCTTAAGGAAAATAAAGTGATGAGACTGAGTGTTGGAAAGAAAGAGGGAAGTGTGTCTTCAGGGACACCAAGAACTCTGCAGTTTATTCTCCCCATCCGTGCAGACTGGGGTGGGGGTCAGAGCTCTAAAGTCCCTGGGATGCCATTTTGCCCCTAGATGATAGGCTGGAAGAGAGAGATCTGACTCCACGTGCAGCTCCCAGTGGAATTAGAGTCTGGGAAATGAAGTAAATTTCAGCTGGTTCAATGCTGCCCCCAATAATCTCTGCTCTGAAGGGAAAAGGGAGACTGCTGTTGTAAACCGGGTAGACAATTTGTGGTGTTTGCCCTGGATGCGGAGATAAAAAGTAGCCCAAAGAAGTTAGAGCTACATGCAAAGGGTGAATAGCATGTGTACTCTGTGTGTGTGTGTGTGTGTGTGTGTGTGTGTGTGTTAGAGTAGATGCTGGAGGAAAGCAGAGGTCTTCCAGAGGAATCGCACTGGAACAACTAGGTTTCCAGCTTCTTTAATAAGCCAGCTACATCACCATCCTGAATAATTCACTGTGGCCTTACAGGGCTGAGGGTAGTATGGAAAAAACACAAGGCTAGATGGACAAGCAATTAGAACGGAAAACTACTGTGATCCAGTAATTTTGTGCACAGATAAGTTATTATTCATATGTAAAAATAACAATGAAAAACCCTCTCATAAATGTAAAGGTAACTTACCTCTACCATTCTTTAACAAAATGTACTAAAAAAATGTTTTCCAAGTAACTGGAAATAAAAAATATTAAATGAGAAAATTGTGGTCTAAAAGGATTCGAGGCACATTTAAATTCATCAGATATTTATAGTGACTTAAATATAAATAATTTTTATAAAATGATCACAAGACAAAATAGAAGCAACAGAATTTTTAAAATAAGATCATACATAATGAAAAGAAAATATATATATTTAAAACTTTTCCTTTATAATTCTAGATCATAGTAGCAAACAGAAAATAGAAGAAAAAGAGGTAGAAATAAAAATCCTAAATTATTAGATTGAAACAGGCAGAGCTCAAAAACTTTATTTGTATTGTTATTATCCTGATCATTAATAGTTACAGAGATGCAGGAACTGGTAATTATTGGCAATTCTTCTCCCTGGGAGCTGTTCGCTGGTTCCTGGCCTCCACTGGAGATGAGGCTGAGATGGGCCGAGACAAAGCAGAGGCTCCCAGGAAACCCATGGGCATAGAGATTCCATGGAAGGTCTTAAGAATCTCAGAAAAGGGTCCCATGGAGCAAAAGAGGTGGCAATAGTGTTGACTCATTCTCACATGGCTCTCCTCTCTTCTCTCTGTTTCCTGCACTCCTTTTCCAGGTGGTTTCCGCAGTTAAGACAGGATTTGGGAAATACTCCGGCCTACTCAAGCCTCTAGGAAACATTAACAGCCACCCCCTAAGGTTGTCCTTCCATTCCACAGCAGTGGGCTTCTCACTGGATACATGGCCACCCACCTGAAGAGTGTCCATCTCAGAGTCTCTTGCCTATGATTTGGCCACCTGTCTAGGTGGCATCTGATGCGCTGTGGGTGGAACTGGTTTGCACCATCTAGAGCTAGGACAGAGAAGGGGTGTGTCTTTCTCTTCCTCTTCCTCATGTCAATATGGGGGACCTCTATTGGATCCTGCAGATGAATATAGTGCTCAAGATGGACAGGACTCAAAGCCTCCAGTGAAGCTAGAGAAGAGAATCTCCACTCTGACCAGCTATTCCATTCAAGGCATCACTGTCCTGTGTGCGTGTTAACTTTAACACACCTAGACTTGCCTTAGAACTTATTAAAAGGACCTAGGATACGGCCTAGAGAAAATGAGGCAGCCGAGGGGGTGTGTGGATAACAGCTTCTAACCTTGGTTGCTTTCTTAAAATATTTAGACAAATCATTAGAGAATCAATAGAGCGGTCAAAAATTAGTTTTAAGTCATATAAAAGGAAAAAAGAATTGGGATCTCATTTCTCCAAGATGAAAATGTTTTAATGTTTTGTTTTATATCACCCTGGAATTTTACCTACTTTTGTTTCTCACTTTACCATATACATGTCAGATACAATGATATAGGGAAATAGTGCATTAAGGTAGATTATATAGTTCATTTTACAATGAAAAAGTATAATCTATGATGAAAATGAAAACAATTTTTAAAATTTATTTTTAACTGAACAAAATTGACTATATTCATGATATACAACATGTTGTTCTGAAATAGGCACACACTGTGGGATGACTAAATGGGGCTACTTAATATATGCATGACCCCCCATCCTTTTTTGTGGGTGTGGTAAGAATACTTTAAAATCTACTCTCATCAATTTTCAAGTATACAAAATATTGTTATTAACTATAATCACCAGATCGTACAAAGGAACAATTCTTTGTTAGATAGTCAATACATCAAAACATAAAGAAAACCTGTGAGAGACATTAAGAATCTTAAAAAATGCTACATCAAAACATATAAAGAAAACCTGTGAGAGACATAAGAATATTTAAAAATGCTACTTCAACTGGTAGAGAAATTAGTTAATGATTTGGGGTGCAATAAAACACTTGGATTTACAATGAATTTCAGATAGACTTTAAAAAAAAATGAAGGCAAAATATAAAAGTAACAGTGAAGTATTTTGGGGTGGCCTGTGGCAAAAACTGGATACCATCACTCCCTTGCTCAAAGCTCTCCAAAGATTTCTCATCACACTTAGAAAATCTACCAGAGTCTTTAAGTACAGGTTCTGCTCTGGCCTCATTTCCTGCTTTCTCTGCTGAAGTGAGGGACAACAGCTCCTGCCATGCTGGGCTCCTTGCTGAGCCTAACCCTCCCCACCCCAGGGCTTTCGCTCCTGCAGTTGTCTGTACAGAGTGCTCATCCTCTGGGTGTGCTGTGGCTACAGCTCCCTAAGTTCATTCAGTTTTCTGCTACAACATTACT